TTAACTTCGCAGGAGCCGCTACATGAGGTTAGTTTGAGTCACTTCATACCCTTCCATGAGTGCGAGAGAGTAAGCAGTAATGAATAATTTTGTTTTGTCTTTTTCTTTTCCCTTCCACTCCCATATCAAGCCCCTCCATCCCGTAGACGAGCGAAGCCACTACGTTCGCAAAACTATTGGGTTTAACTATGGAAGAGGGGACTCACCTACGAAATGGAAGGGATAAGAAAAGGAAAGAATCATCTCACTCGCACTCGTAGGATCAATGAGGAGCTACTTGGTTAACCTTGAGGAGCACTCGGGAGTCAAAAGAGCCGAGTTTGCCCGGCTCTGCTGTATACAACGAAAGAGTAACAATAACTGAAACATAACTAAACAAACCAATTCGTGCGGAAGTGTGTGTCAAACTAATCATAATAAAAACAAAAGCTCGATGATACGATGATACAAGTTTGAACTTGCCTTAAAATGTATGTACTTACAATCTTTCTGTCTCTTTCTCTCTGCAACTTCGAATTGTCGAGTGTTTAGCGCCGATGAGTTCGAATTAGCGCGTCGTTTTGTTACGTATAGCAATGATTTTTTTCGTTCGAATTACCAAGTGCATAAAAATGTATTGATTTAGTTCGAAATATAAAGAGATTTTGTAGGGAACTCGTGATAACTTTGAATTATAGAAAGGTTCGAATTATCGCAGGTTTGGATTAACGAGAGTCGACTGTAATAGAAAAAGGAAAGTACGCGTACATAGGATTCCTAAATTTAAAAAAAGCTTCTGACAATGTTAACAATGGAACATGATGTAGGGATAATACATAGATAGAAGGCTGCTTGAAAACATCCCTATCTGGAGCGACACGACAGTGTAAGTTTGTAATCAATACATAACCTTATTTACCTTATCAGCTTTTGCTGTTTTTATCCGTTTTTAGGATTAAACACCAAAGCGATTGTTTTTCGTCGAATTTTGTATTTACCACTACAAAAACCTAAAAAAAAGCGATACTGCAGACACATATCCATATTATGAATATATGTAGGTGTACGTAGCAGATAATGCGAATTCTCAACTTTTTAAGGTTCCATACCTCAAAAAGGAACCCTTTTAGGATCACTTCGTTGTCGGCCTGTCTGTCTGTTTGTTTGTCTGTGTGTCTAAAATATGAATTTTCAGCTTTTTAAAGTTCTGTACCTGAAAAGGAAAAAGGAACCCTTTTAGGATCACTTCGTTGTCGGCCTGTCTGTCTGTTTGTTTGTCTGTGTGTCTAAAATATGAATTTTCAGCTTTTTAAAGTTCTGTACCTGAAAAGGAAAAAGGAACCCTTTTAGGATCACTTCGTTGTCGGCCTGTCTGTCTGTTTGTTTGTCTGTGTGTCTAAAATATGAATTTTCAGCTTTTTAAAGTTCTGTACCTGAAAAGGAAAAAGGAACCCTTTTAGGATCACTTCGTTGTCGGCCTGTCTGTCTGTTTGTTTGTCTGTGTGTCTAAAATATGAATTTTCAGCTTTTTAAAGTTCTGTACCTGAAAAGGAAAAAGGAACCCTTTTAGGATCACTTCGTTGTCGGCCTGTCTGTCTATTTGTCTGTCTGTCTGTCTGTCTCTGTATAATATGAATTATTAGCTTTTTAAGGTTTCGTAGCTCAAAAGGAAAAAGAAACCCATTTAGGATCAGTTCGTTACCGGTATGTCTGCCTGTGTGTCTGTCTTTCTGTCTATCTGTATGCCAAGATCGTTGTTCTCAGAAACAGGTGGAGGTACCACGTTAAAATTAATATCAAATACTCAGGTCTGCAATTCTTTGGAACTGTGGAGAAATGACACTTTTAAGTCAACGGAATCAAACAATGCCGCATATTCTGACACTCGCTAGGATACTTCCTGCTGGCCTATAAAATTACGAAATTTGGCAAGAAGGAATGTCTTATAACACAAGTACATACCTAAAGGAAAAAATCCGAAATCCGTAAACGAAAATGGTTACATCACAAAAAAATATTTTTTAATTGTAACATTCTAATTATATACGTTTTGGGGGAAACATAAAACACACTCGGAAAAGAGGGAAAAACCTTCAAAATTGGATTTCCGTACGTATACCTACAAGTTTGTATGGAGCCTTGCGCGATTCCGACACGCACTTGATTGGTCCTTTTTACCTTACCCCCTCTTCCCCCCCTTTGACAAGCCTTGACTATGCAAGTAATAAGTGGGCTAGCCTGTACATGAGACACATAAAGTAGGTACTACAGAAGACGCGTTAGAAATTCTGCGCGAGTTTCGCACAAACCGAACATAATTTCGTATACCAGATACATATATTTGCAACGTTTCTATGGCACCGCAGGCCGGCGCTGTTGCTTCGTACGAAAATACAATTACGAAAACAACACGACTTCGTTACGAATTAAAGCACATGGGGAATGAGAACATATTAAACGAACAGTGACGTACGCTAAGCGACGAGACGCTACACGTCGCGATGTACACAGCCACAACTAGAACGACCTGACGAGAGCAATATTAATTATACAGGTTAATTGGATTTTATAGTAAAAGAAAATGATGAACACCACGGAGACGTACGTGTTTCGCAGGCTTCCGTTGGTGATGTGGATGTTACCGCAAATGTATGAAATCTAGGAAATGTATACAATACCGCGGCTATTTAGAGAATGTATAAAATATTGGGATCCGTCAAATAGGCATACACCATCTGGTGGCAAAATTTACATAGGAACTGTGCACGCAAATTGTAAAATTGTTTATTAAAATAATAAAACACGTTAAAAAAGTAAAAATGTTTTTGATGATGGAGTCGACGAAGTTTTCTTCTAAAGTTAAATCAAATAAAAAGTTAATATGTTTAGTGAAAAGCTGAAATAGCACTTCAGACATAGATCTTCACTCTTCACCTATATTAACTACTTTCCAAAAAAAACTAACCGTTTTATATATGTAAAAAGTATATTCGGAAAATTAGAGAAAAAAGTAAACTAATAGAAGCTTGGATGAAAGCAATAGGTATCAATGTTTTTGATGATGGAGTCGACGAAGTTTTCTTCTAAAGTTAAATCGTCTAAAAAGTTAATATGTTTAGTGAAAAGCTGAAATAGCACTTCAGACATAGATCTTCACTCTTCACCTATATTAACTACTTTCCAAAAAAAACTAACCGTTTTATGTATGTAAAAAATATATTCTGAAAATTAGAGAAAAAAGTAAACTAATAGAAGCTTGGATGAAAGCAGTAGGTATCAAAGAAGTGAATTCCGAAATAAAAATTTGTTCACGTCATTTTAATGCACATGATTATATTTCAGCAAGTATTTATCATCAGCCATAACCTTAATATTTAAAACTAGAATCATACTAAAATTATAAAGTGAGAAATTATTTATTCCTGTGTAATTGATTTAACACAATTCTAATGATAATATAAGTATTTTGAGGTTAAGAATCTACCTGCTGCAATACAACAAAGTTGCAATAATGTGTTTGCAACGTTCTCTTAAATCGGCTATGCACGTGCAAGTTATTGATATGAAATTGCTTAAATCACCCAGAATCACCTCACCAATTATATAACGTGAATCACTTTTTAAATCCGAAGTTTGTAAAAAGTAGGCAGTAAACTTGACGGAATTTGAAGGCTAGCTTCCGGATTTGTTATTTCCGAATTTTATAATGTGATTGGCATTAAAAACACGCTCACCTTCAACGAAATTTCCTTTCCGAGGCTTTGTGTCAGCCCAATCACATATTGTGTCAATACTTATCATTTTATCGTAATTTAAAAACTTGGAAATTGCACGGTACACTATAGGAACTACGATAAATTTTCCCTAATCGGCGCCATGTTTTTAGGCTCCTTCCATTTGACGGATCCCAATTGTCTCAAAATTTATTAATAAACACAAAGCCTGGGAAATGTATACATTTCCTAGGAATTCTATGAAATTCAGATATTGTACTAAGAAATGCATAAAACTAATGCTTTCTGTGAATAAAATACTCTAACATATCAGCCCGCCTCCGGCGGGCAGAAGCCTTAAATACACTCCGATCTGTCATAAATCTACCTAACGTCACCAATGCATATGTTATAGAGCATAGTTTTGGAACGTTGAAAAGCAATACTTGGCGGCCTATGACATTGTATAGACAATAATACGGCAGACTGCTTGGAGATGTATATTCATTGGCGACATCATCGTTTGATTAAGTATATTTATGACAGATTGGAGTTTATTTAATGCCCCTGCCCTGATATGTTAAGAGTATTTTATTCACAGAAAGCATTAGTTTTATACATTTCCTAGTACAATATCGGAACTTTATAAAATTCCTAGGAAATCTATACCTTTCAAAGGATGTGTGTATTAAAAAATCTTTGAAACAATATTTTATACATTTCGTAAACAGCCTCGGAATTGTATATATTTCTTAGGAATTTTACACAATTCCTAGATTTCATATATTTCCGGTAACATCTCCACTTCACTAGAGTACAACCATATACCTGGAGTTGTTAAGTGGAGAGTTAAGAACTGAATATTGGGATATTCTATTACATGCTATCATCAAAAGGCAGAAATACAACGTGGTATATGAGAATTTATGCAAATACCTTCAGTCATCTTATCATATAAATAATAAGGTGATTTACACCTTTTAAAATGATTGCTACGCTCTGTACAAAAGGTAAGTTTTCAGAAAACCATGTGATATTTTCAAATTGATGTGTTTGAAAAAATATATTCCACACACTCACAGAATTATGCATTTTCGCTAGTGTCACATAACCAGAAAAATGTCGACAATGAAATGTATATAATTTCTACGTTCAGTAAAATTTTTTGCCTTACCTGTATAATGCATGAACTTAGAAGTTAATATTTTGCCGACCTATTGATAGACGATTATCTCAGTTTTTTTGGACAGTCGCTTTTACCTCAATTTTCTTTTATTTCACGCAAACTTAACAAAATCAATGACTTACCTGTACACGCTGCCGGTGCAACTCTTGAGTACGATGTCGTTTTTCTAATTCAACCTTCCGAGAGAGAAGTTCTGAAATTTCTGCTGGTGCATCTTCTGTTATTTTTGGAGGTAATTCTTCTTCGTCTTCACTGAAACATTCCAAATACAGGTCGCTATCTTCAGTCTGTAACAAAAATTTAAAGTTTTTGTGGTGGAGAATATCAAAAAAAAAGAAAAACAAGTAAAGCTGTAAATTGTGGAAATTGTCTGGAAAATGGGTCCATCGGCTGTAGGGGGATTGTTAAGTCTTGTTCTTGCTCATTTAATCTGATACTTACGTTTTTTTTTTTAGTACAAAGTGAAAGAAATAAAAATATCGAAAAAAAAAAAAATTGTTTGTCTCTGTATGCGTTATCCAGGCACAAGAACAAAGAACATTTACTTATTCAAAAAACATTTTTGGAGAACACTTTTTTAAAACAGTAAAGTTTTTTTTTTATATTTAGTGTTAAATTAAAGCAAACTGAAAATTTTAAGTACAAAAAAAATTTTGTTCCAAGAAAAGAATATATTAAAGTTGCTTCAAATAGTTTAACTGATAAATCCACCTGAGATCATAATATTTCGTTTAGTCTTGCGTATTTGGTCTTATTTGGTTTCGGTTTTAGTCTTGGTCTTGTTCGTTCGATCTTAGTCTTGCTCCTGCTAATATAAAAACAGTTTTGGTCTTAGTCTATTTCTCAAGATCAAGACTAAGACTGCGAAGACCAAGAACAATTTTGCTCACAATTACCTCTTTACACCCACCTATAAATACCTTTTGGTGTTATAAAAAGTCATTTTTCCCTCCCCTTCGACCAATGGATTTACACGTCCCCTCCCCCGATCGTCGATCCCGTTATATAGACGTTACCAAAATTTTAAACCTTATCAAAAGCCAAAATGCTGCATTTTTAGCAATTGGGAAAATTAATAATATCTATGAAAACTGACTTACCAACTCGGGTGGTGATGGAGTCGAGTCACGATTTGAACATACATTAACAACAGAAATATATTTTTGAAAGTCTTTTTCGATTTCTAGTTTAAGAACTGGAGGCTCAAGTCCACATAAAAATACGGTTCCAAAAAAGAGCAATTTGGAAAGACGAAGCGTGAACTGGGCACCTTCCATGTCGACCTCCTTCGGGGCAAATTGAGGAATGTTTTCGTTATACATGAGAGGGGTGAAACCACTAAGGGCACTGTCCTCCGGTAGCCGAACTAGTTCGTATCCTGGAAAAGAAAATTACACTAGTCTCCTTACACTCCTTTAATCCCCAAAACAGTGTACAGGGTGAAAGTTAATATTTTTCGTAATTTACATTCTCTGGCTAATAACGTATTAATTAATTATGGAAAGTAGGTAATTAAATGATATGCTATTTAAATTTCATATCAGCAAGAATACTGACCTAATAAACTGTTTGCGATTTTAGAATACGAACAACAAAATTAAATTACTACAAAACCCCAATTAAACTTAAATAGCAAAATTATTGGTTGGCCTGCAAAATTATGAAGAAAAGGTAACGTGTGCAAATCTCTGGTTTAGTTAATTTATTAAACATCTTTACATGACTTTTCTATTAGTAAAACTTTAGTGTGGAAAGCTACAATCCAATCAATAACATCCATATTATTATAAAATTGTCTTAATTTTAATAAACATAAAACACATAATTTTAACTTACTCAGAACTGTAGTGATGTTACGGTAAAAGTAATAATATGGTGATTATATTTATATATAATAACCAGTTATTGTGTATAATCACCACTAAATTTGGTAACTATGATAAATTTTTCAAAATTTATCAAATTAACCGGTTTGTTTGCATAATTCCCAACTCGTAGTGGTAAATGTGATGAATATCATGACTAATTGAGCCAGTACAATAGAGTGCAGTTTTTTTGTGTAGTTACGAGGGTGGATTGATAAGTTTCCGGCCTAACCAAGAGATGACGCCACTAGGCCTACCTTGAGGTGACATTCTATAGTACCATCCTTGGATAGCTTGTAGCTATAGTTTCAGCCCGATCTCCTTGCTAGTGTAGGTTTGACAGCACGCTGAACAAGACGCCTCTGTGGTTTTCGTAAAAATGGAAAAGCAGGAAAATCGTGCTGTCATCAAATACTTTTATTTGAAGGGGTTAACGCCGAAGGAAATTAAAAAAGAGATGGACTCAACACTGGGGACATCCTCCCCGTCATATTCAACCGTTAAGCAGTGGGTTTCCGAGTTTAAAAAGGGTCGTGTGAGCACCTCTGATGGGCCTCGCTCAGGACGCCCCGTTGAGGTCACAACTCCAGATATGATCGAAAAAATTCATCAAATAGTGCTGGGAGACCGCAGATTGAAAGTGCGTGAGATAGCTGAGACCTGTAAGATGTCATATGAACGTGTGCAACATATTTTGCACCAACATTTGCATATGGAAAAGCTCTGTGCAAGATGGGTGCCGCGTTTGCTAACAGTCGACCAAAAATTGATTCGAAAAAACATTTCTACCGCAAATTTGTCATTGTATAAGCGTAATCCAAGCGAATTTTTGCGTCGATTCGTAACCGTTGACGAAACGTGGGTCCACCACTACACTCCTGAAACCAAAGAACAGTCTAAACAGTGGATTGGACCAGGGGAACCAACTCCAAAGAAGGCAAAAACAATTTTTTCGGCGAACAAGGTTATGGCTACTGTTTTTTGGGATGCAAGAGGTATTATATACATTGATTACCTTGCAAAGGGTAATACTATCACTGGTCAATACTACGCAGACTTATTGCAACGTTTGAGCCACGAGGTGAAAATTAAACGACCTCATCTGGCGAAGAAAAAAATCTTGTTTCATCACGATAACGCACCAGCGCACACGTCAATAGTTGCGACGGCTAAAATCAACGATCTAAAGTTTGAATTGATGCCGCACCCTCCTTACTCTCCTGACCTAGCCCCGAGTGACTATTTTCTGTTCCCTAATCTCAAAAAATGGCTTGGCGGTAAGAGATTTGCGGACAATGAAGAAGTAATCGAAGCTGTAAATGGTTATTTTGAGGAGCTTGACGAATCAGTCTATAGAGATGGCATTAATAGACTGGAACACCGCTATGAGAAATGTATCAGCCTTGGAGGAGATTATGTTGAGAAATAAAAAAAAAAAATTTTTAAAAACCTTGTTTTTCTTGGTCAGGCCGGAAACTTATCAATCCACCCTCGTACTACTCAGAAAGATATTTTTTCGCATAGTTTTCGAACGTTGAAAAATCATATGTGGTCACCTATGATATATAAAATAGACAATAATACGGCAGGCTATTTGAAGGCATATGTGCACTGGTGACGTCACTGTTTGTTTAGGTAGATTTATGACAGACTGAAGTTTCTTTAATACCCCTGTACGCCGGAGGCGGGCTGACATGTTGGAATAATGTCACGAAGTCATCTTTGTTTCAGTTTCAATGACTTGGGAATTATGAAAACAATCCGATTAATTTAATAAATTTTAAAAAATTCACCAAATGTAGTGGCGATTATGCATAATTACTGGTTATTATATGTAATCATCGAATTAATCTCATTTACAATAACAGTGATACATTTTGTTCATTCAAAAAAATACAACTTTGATACGTTTTGTGCTTTTTGGAAACCCTGCTGCACATCATGAAAATAATTTTAAAATATACCACCAATGGATCCCTACCTACCCCCACAACAAAAATTTTTAAAAATCTATAATCAGCCGTAAAACCCCTGTATAAAAAGGTAAAGTGACTGATTGATATATCAACGCACAGACTACACCCCTGAGACTCGAGACTGAAAATTTTGCAATAAAGTTCTTTGTATAATACAGGTGAGCACTAACACAAGATTTTATAATATTCAACCCCTAAAGGGTGAAAAGAGTGTTGAGAGTTTGATGTATCGATCAAGATACTTCATAAACCGCTAAGTCAAGAAACTTGAAATCTTGCATCAAGACATCATATGTACAATAGTCTCATCCGTTTTAAAATGATTTTTCAAAATGCCACCCCTAAGTACAAAGGGAAACGTTTAATACATTATAAAATTATTAAAAAAATGTCAAAGGAAAAGAGGGCTTAGGTTTCCAATCCCGCACTACCTACAAAGATGCCGTCCAATGTTGGGCTAGTGCTTAGCACTTGTAACGACTCACAATATCTCCTTTTTCGCTATCTGAGGGCAACAATGCAGTTTACTCCACAACAGAATCCGAATGATATCGAAAATCAATTTAGTAACAGAACATGTCAAAAGCAAAACTTTTAAGACCATTAACAACCCTCTAAGCTTCATTTTTCCCTTACCCACTGGAGAGGCTTGTCACAAACACAAACAGTGAAGATTTCAACACAAGCTGTGGTAAATGACTAAGTCTTTGCATTAACACTTCACACTTGAAATATTAAATCAGTTAGTTTTAACGTTAACACCAAATACACGCTCCCTTAAAAAATACTTTTTATTCTTTATTAATTTGTATTAATAAAAATTATTTTTTCAAACACTTTCATTATTTATTAAATGATTAAATGAATTGTTGCTTTACGAGGGTGGATTGATAAGTTTCCGGCCTGACCAAGAAAAACAAGGTTTTTAAAAATTTTTTTTTTTTATTTCTCAACATAATCTCCTCCAAGGCTGATACATTTCTCATAGCGGTGTTCCAGTCTATTAATGCCATCTCTATAGACTGATTCGTCAAGCTCCTCAAAATAACCATTTACAGCTTCGATTACTTCTTCATTGTCCGCAAATCTCTTACCGCCAAGCCATTTTTTGAGATTAGGGAACAGAAAATAGTCACTCGGGGCTAGGTCTGGAGAGTAAGGAGGGTGCGGCATCAATTCAAACTTTAGATCGTTGATTTTAGCCGTCGCAACGATTGACGTGTGCGCTGGTGCGTTATCGTGATGAAACAAGATTTTTTTCTTCGCCAGATGAGGTCGTTTAATTTTCACCTCGTGGCTCAAACGTTGCAATAAGTCTGCGTAGTATTGACCAGTGATAGTATTACCCTTTGCAAGGTAATCAATGTATATAATACCTCTTGCATCCCAAAAAACAGTAGCCATAACCTTGTTCGCCGAAAAAATTGTTTTTGCCTTCTTTGGAGTTGGTTCCCCTGGTCCAATCCACTGTTTAGACTGTTCTTTGGTTTCAGGAGTGTAGTGGTGGACCCACGTTTCGTCAACGGTTACGAATCGACGCAAAAATTCGCTTGGATTACGCTTATACAATGACAAATTTGCGGTAGAAATGTTTTTTCGAATCAATTTTTGGTCGACTGTTAGCAAACGCGGCACCCATCTTGCACAGAGCTTTTCCATATGCAAATGTTGGTGCAAAATATGTTGCACACGTTCATATGACATCTTACAGGTCTCAGCTATCTCACGCACTTTCAATCTGCGGTCTCCCAGCACTATTTGATGAATTTTTTCGATCATATCTGGAGTTGTGACCTCAACGGGGCGTCCTGAGCGAGGCCCATCAGAGGTGCTCACACGACCCTTTTTAAACTCGGAAACCCACTGCTTAACGGTTGAATATGACGGGGAGGATGTCCCCAGTGTTGAGTCCATCTCTTTTTTAATTTCCTTCGGCGTTAACCCCTTCAAATAAAAGTATTTGATGACAGCACGATTTTCCTGCTTTTCCATTTTTACGAAAACCACAGAGGCGTCTTGTTCAGCGTGCTGTCAAACCTACACTAGCAAGGAGATCGGGCTGAAACTATAGCTACAAGCTATCCAAGGATGGTACTATAGAATGTCACCTCAAGGTAGGCCTAGTGGCGTCATCTCTTGGTTAGGCCGGAAACTTATCAATCCACCCTCGTATTAAATTGATAATTCATATTTTTACCACAGGTTACGGTATGGTTTAAATTGGTTTCTCTGATTACTACACGGTACACATTATTCCACAATTTAAAGATGAGTTATTTATTTATTCGTTTTTAAAATTTTAAATAGATATTTAATGTTGATTGCAATTATTTTGCTTGTTTTTTACTGCAGCGATATTGTTCGTCTTTTGATGTTAAAACAAACATTTATTTTAAAGTTGATTGTAAAATATATATTAGCAATGCATCTGGTAGCACATTAACTGAACATTTTTGTAATAGGTCAAGAAAATGCTTTTAAATTACAACCTCGAATAGAATTTTTTTCTTGTACCCACTCGAATTTTAAACATCGTATGCAACGTATTTTAAGCATCTAACTATTTTCATAAGACATCTGATAAATTCTGTATTTTATTTACATTCACCACCCTATACGACTCACTGTTAACTAAAATCCTTTTAATTGTTATTAGACGTCTAAGGGGTTCACAATTGACCCACGTCAAATAAAATCCCCCAAAATCCGTAGAAATGCACATCTGTCGCATTTTGTACGAAAATTAGAGTTTCTGCGTAATGTAACGGTCCGAAATTTACAAGGAAAAGGGCGAGAGCTAGTAACCCGATGATTAATCATCGGACGTAATCCAATGAAACAATTAGTGGTGACAGAAGTGCAGGGTGCGGGATCAAATCCCATTATTATTCGAACGCTTCCCGCACCGTCTCACCCACTAATCCCCACTTTTAAGTGAAGACACTATACAGGGCGATTTTTAAAAAGTACGCGGCTATCTATTATAATTGGAAAATTATATATTAGGTAAATAAGTAAANAACGTAACCTACCAAATTTTTTGGAGTGATTTTTGTCTTTTTTGGGTTAGGATTGATTAGTTTCTGTTTTAGTATCGATTTTTTACTTCCATCTCAAAAAAGTTACATTATAAGCATTGGTCGCAACGTAAATGTTTTCGGACTTTGCGCCAGAATATACTAAACATATATTTCTCTGCGATTTCTTTTCAATGTTATCTTCTAATAAATATGACGCCCAACACCTCCGCCATATTTTATTTTTATTAGCTAATTGTTTTAGTTAACTTTATAGTAGGCAGGTATTTACATGAATAGAAACCAAAGAGCGAAAAAATTAAGTCTATTTTAAATACAAACGAAACTAACTTAATTTCACTTTTAGATTGGCTAGTAATTAAGAAGTAAGTAAGGGACTTTTTTACAAAAAAGTATGTTACGCCTTTCGAACCATATAATGCCTTATTATTCGTTAATAAAATCTTCTATGAGGCACTAAGAATAGATAACCAGTGTACCTAAGACATGTGAAATGTAGTAGGAATTTTCCTTTAGTCTTTAGGGAGTGTACCAAAAAAGAATTTGAAATTCCGCCCCTGAAAGGGCGAAAAGTACAACCTACGTCCCAAACTTGTGGACTTAGAGATTTGAAAGGGGAATTGTTCTAGTGGTATACAAAGGAGAAATGTTCTGAAATTTACTCTGTAAAGGGATGAAAAAAGGCGGTAAATTTTCAATGGAAACAGAACATAACATATTTACATTTTTTATATTCTACAAATTAGTTACCTATGTGAAAGTTTGAGGGCTATCAACTTTTTATCTCAATGGCATTGAAACAATTGAGATTCGAATATGTTAAAAAGTAAATTATTATTAAACTGTAATCATCGAGGTAAAACTATCAAAATACGATATAAAAGACTCGTTTATCAGTGGTATTTTTTAGGTCTTTGCAAAAATGAAAACTTGTTGACTACAGGGTCATAATATGCCTATAATATGCAATATCTACTAAGTATGAACAGTCAAAAATAAGAATATATAAAGAAATATCAAATGATTAACGAGAGATTGCAATAATTTGTATTTCATTAAGTATTGTTAATTGTTTTGCATAGTATTTGATTTCTTTACAGTTCCTTTAAGTATATTCGTTTTGTATTAATTGTTAGGTTTATTTGTAGTATAGGATCATTTGGTTTGATTATCAACCCTTTTAGTTTATACTTTTCTTCATTTTTTCTCTAGAAAAAAATTAATTCTAAAGTATCATCATAGGATCGCCTGTTCGAAAGACTTGTTGGACACGCGTGTCTTCCCTAACGATCCTCTGCATTTTCTTAAAAATTAGAACAACCCACATCCCTATGTATCTGCGAACAGTAGTGTCATTCACCTTTTCCCCTGTCTCTATTTACTCCTATTCCTGCTTTTAATATATCTGCAATTCATGTCTCACAAAAATTCCTACCACCCTATCACCTTTTCTTTTAATTGACTAACGCAGCGCCCTATTTTTTCCTAATACTTTTTCTAATATATCCTAATTTCTAACCTTTTCTATCATCTGCCTACAGAACACTCTAAACGGTTGTAACTTTTACGTACTGCCTTGAAAATATAAATCACCCTGTACATTTCTAGATTACGGGAAAGACAAAAACCATCCACTTACCTTCCCTCGGCTCTGTAATAAATGACGAAGCGACGCTTTTATCCAGCTTTTCCAGTAAATTCATAAGGGACGCTAAGCGAGCCCATGCGTCTCCGGGAGGCCTGTCAACAAATCAATAATTAATTACAATTTCAAATAAATAATGCATAAGTCGAATGAGACAAGACTGTCTCTATAATCCAATTTATAAGATAAGAGGCAGATTATAATTGAGTAATATACACCTTCGACTATTTCATATTTTTTATTTCATATACCTACAATAACACTATTGAGTAATTACGTGTGGATAATTATTCAACAAGATACAATCAATATTCTATCCTTCATATTGCTGTAAATATATTACAACGAGCAGAGTTGCCCACTGTCCATGTTTCGCACCCGTACAACGCCGCGCTCCAAACATACACCTTTAACAACCTTTTTCGAATTTCTAAATTAACCGTTCGCGAGCATAGAAGTGACTTCTTTTTATTACTCCCTACTACTCCTTCCGTCTTGACTTATCTGACTTCCTAGGTATCTAAAATCAGCCACTTCTTCTAATTTTTCGTCTCGTATCTTTATATTCGCTCTTTCTCTACTTTTTCTTCCCTTGCATACTAGTATTTTAGTTTTAATTTTATTTAATTTCGTACAGTACTGATCTGTCAGTACCGCTTCCATTTTATTTAAAGCTATCTCTAAGTCCTCTTTGCTAGATGCTAATACTGCAAATAAATATATTATTATATTAATTTGATGAAACACAATTGAAACGAAAAACACCTATTGCAACAAATAAACACCGAAATACACACATATTTATAAATTACATTTTTAAGGTAACCCAACCCATCTCTAACGTAACCTACCAAATTTTTTGGAGTGATTTTTGTCTTTTTTGGGTTAGGATTGATTAGTTTCTGTTTTAGTATCGATTTTTTACTTCCATCTCAAAAAAGTTACATTATAAGCATTGGTCGCAACGTAAATGTTTTCGGACTTTGCGCCAGAATATACTAAACATATATTTCTCTGCGATTTCTTTTCAATGTTATCTTCTAATAAATATGACGCCCAACACCTCCGCCATATTTTATTTTTATTAGCTAATTGTTTTAGTTAACTTTATAGTAGGCAGGTATTTACATGAATAGAAACCAAAGAGCGAAAAAATTAAGTCTATTTTAAATACAAACGAAACTAACTTAATTTCACTTTTAGATTGGCTAGTAATTAAGAAGTAAGTAAGGGACTTTTTTACAAAAAAGTATGTTACGCCTTTCGAACCATATAATGCCTTATTATTCGTTAATAAAATCTTCTATGAGGCACTAAGAATAGATAACCAGTGTACCTAAGACATGTGAAATGTAGTAGGAATTTTCCTTTAGTCTTTAGGGAGTGTACCAAAAAAGAATTTGAAATTCCGCCCCTGAAAGGGCGAAAAGTACAACCTACGTCCCAAACTTGTGGACTTAGAGATTTGAAAGGGGAATTGTTCTAGTGGTATACAAAGGAGAAATGTTCTGAAATTTACTCTGTAAAGGGATGAAAAAAGGCGGTAAATTTTCAATGGAAACAGAACATAACATATTTACATTTTTTATATTCTACAAATTAGTTACCTATGTGAAAGTTTGAGGGCTATCAACTTTTTATCTCAATGGCATTGAAACAATTGAGATTCGAATATGTTAAAAAGTAAATTATTATTAAACTGTAATCATCGAGGTAAAACTATCAAAATACGATATAAAAGACTCGTTTATCAGTGGTATTTTTTAGGTCTTTGCAAAAATGAAAACTTGTTGACTACAGGGTCATAATATGCCTATAATATGCAATATCTACTAAGTATGAACAGTCAAAAATAAGAATATATAAAGCCTAAATTTATTTACAAGTAAATTTATATAAGGAAATAAGTTATCATGCTAATAGCCCGATTATAAAATGAGCCGTTATTAGAGTTATAGGGTTCGAGCTTTAATATTTGCTGTTTTGGTTTCTTCTTTTCGCATTTTGTACTTAAAAATGAGCCTACTTGAACAGCGAAATATATAATATAGAATTTATTTTATTGAATAGGGATAGGGTATTAACTTAAAAGCCTATCGCGCACTAAAAACTTTTGTCATGGTGTTCAAATCCATCTTCCCGAATGACAAAACTTCGCGATTGTCGCCCTATGTGCACCCAAATAAGATATCTTGCGTGATGTGACAGTGACAATAAATTTATTGTCACCGTAACAATAGTTTTTATAGGGATACGACAATCAGTAAAACTGTAGAGGGCCACATAGAACATTTTTGTCGTCCCGACATAATTGTCGTTCAAACATAGTGGGAACCAACTCTTACAGTATAACAAAAATATTAATTTCCTTTCGAAATGAGTATAAGCAAACATTATTACAAATTGAACTAAATCAGCAAATTTACTTACCCCACTCTGTAGTCTTGGGTGGATGGTGGCGGATTCCACACACTACTATGACACAGCATCCAATCGCACCAAACTTTCACAGCTGGTAACAAAACTAAAATATCTTCAAACAGTGAACTGTTTCTAATGCTGCTGGTGTGCTCTTTGTTTGTTTTGATATACTCCTGGAGTAGCAAGTTGCACCGTTCTAGGATCAAGTTAAACATTTGCAAGGACACAACAAGAGCGCGTTCTTGCAACTCGGATCTGTATCCTGGTTGAGCTTGCAGTTGTGGATCTGAAACAAAAAAGACTTGTTAGTTATGAAACATTCATAAATTTGTGAAACAATTTAAATACTATATTCTTATTCTACATTAAATCCTTCCAAATGATGTTTTTAATGGTTATTTACACGTAAAAGGGAGCTATTGCATAATTATTTAATTATTATTATTATGTAAGACCTTCCTTCTTGTCCAATTTCATGATTCTAGGTCTATGGGAAGTACCCTATAGGTTTTGATGTGTGAAAATATGGCTCAAATGGTTGTATCTTTGGATTGCGTTGACTTAGAAGCTTTTTTTACCGCTTTAAGGGGTCGCATACATAAGTATTTAATATTAATTTCAACTTGATACCTCCACGCGTTCCTGAAAAAAAGGGTCTTGACAGAGAGACAAACAGACGGACGGTCGGACTACAAAGTAATCCTAAATGCGTTCCGTTTTTTCCTTTTGAGGTACGGAACCCTAAAAACCAAACGAAATGGTGAAAACATGTTTTCAATGTATTGTAGACTTTGATCTTCAATATAAGTTACTGAATCACTAGCTCGCGGTCGAATGATACAAATAAAGTGAAAATATAAATAACAAACTAAATAAAAGCACGCATTCCTGAGAATAACGGTCCTGACAAACAAACTAACGGACAACAAAGTGATCCTATAAGGGTTCCGTTTTTTCCTTTTGACGTACGGAATCCTAAAAACCAAATGAAATGATGAAAACATACTGAATCACTAGCTCGCGATGAAATTATACAAAGTGAAAATATAAATAACATAAAACAAAAACATTTTTATTTCTGAATGAGTAGTTTGTATAATTTAAAGCTGAGGTAAAAGGGTACAAATACAAGCACTATATCGAAATAACAATTAATTTAGTATAGTAATCAATAAATAATACAAATTCGACGTTTTCATATATAATCCAAGTTATCAATTTTCATTAGGTAAGTTTTTTATTACACTTAATTGTTTGTTTTTCATTTTTCCTCTGATAGAATTATCCGGCGTCATTATCCGATACCCAACCGGATCCTAAACAAACGGCCGGATCTGCCGAGTATAGGATCCAAACAGGGTACCCGACCCATCTCTAGTCTTGAATAAAGCCTTTAGCTGTTACATAGGTAATAGGACGGTGCAATTGTTCCAAGTTAGCGTTTTAATATTTACGAATGAGAGTGGTTTTTGAACACGGTATTTTTGATAGCTAAGAAGATGTTATCGCATTTAAGCAAAACCAAATCGAAAGCGAAATCAAAAACAGTACATCTGACTCGAGCTTTTTGTTGACTGGTTTGTTTGCATACTGCCGAAATGTACCAAAATATTCGGAACACCTGAAGGGCAACCAACCAAATAACGAATAATAAATAAAGCGGCCGTAAAAACTGAACATGGACAGCGGTCTGAGGTCTGTCACTGAAAAAAAAAAATGACAAGTTGATGGAATAAGAGCAGATGGATCTTTGAGTTGTGGATAAAGGAAGAAAAAAACTGGATTGTTGCCCCTGATGTAGTAAGGCAATGAAAAAACTGTTTACTAAAGGAAGATTGGCTGATCGAGGGGCATCGATCTCTACCTCCGGACAGAAACCCCATGAAGAGGTCGTTGCCTAAAAACAAAAGTTATTGCTACACTCTTACTACAAAGGTTTTAATTTAGAGCAATTGTTTTTTACACAACAGAGTTAATTTTAGAAATTTGGTAGAGAATATTAATTAAAAACTGATTCGTAAAGTGAAATATCAACCAATCATGGACTAACAGTTTGAATAAGCCTGAACCGGAAATCAATTATTATATGTCTACTGAACTGCATGAACAAAAAGCCAACCAAATGAATATTTCCAAAACAGATTCCTGACATTTCTCTGATCAATCTAGAACATATCGTCATTTTCATTTCTCCAAGGTTAATTATATATAATTAATATGGATGTGCCCTTATCGTATTAAGTATTTAGACGTTTTAATTATTTTTATTTAATATTACTAATAATGAAGGCACTATGAGATGTGTTTTTAAAGAAATTTGGATACGGTTCCCTCTTGGTAAGATTTAACGTGATTTTATCGAAACCTTCACCCCTTTTAATCGCATGTAATTAATGAACGTTCCCTGATGTGATCAAAATCGAATGTGAGAACTTTTCCGAAATAAGTGAAGGGATGGAGCGATAATACTGTCGCAACATTTATCCCTTTCTATTAAATAAAACCATTAAAATCCGGCATTTTTCTTACACGATTAAATAGATAAGACTAAAAATGAGGCAACGTTGTTGTATAACTGGATATTTAAGTGGATTTCAATAAAATGACTAATAACATCAATCATTTAACTAATTGGAATACGCCCACACTTATAAGTAATTTTTTGTCATCCCCCAATTTTCCGCCCTTACAGCGGAATATTTTTTTAAATTTAAACGGGACCACTCTTTAGATATAAGCTATTCAATAACAAAGAATCATTAAAATTGGATGAAAATTGGCGAAGAAACCTTCAAACAGCACTCGACTTGTAGAGTTCTAATCTCATTCTGATAATGTTCAGAACTAATCCGATAAAAACAACCCATTGTAAAGTGCGACTAAATAAGATCTAACTTAAAGACCAAGGAAATATTTTGACGATCTGATTGAATATTAGCTGTATTATAAAGTAATGAAGTTAAGTTGAATAAGAAGTTCATGGTGATCAGAATTTCCATTTCATCTTTTCTTTTCTCATCTTTTCTTCATAAGAACCTTCCTCGGATTTGAAAAAATATTAAAAAAAAAAATATCGAAATTGGTCCAGCCTTTCTTGAGTTTTGCGCTTAGCAATCCATTTTTATACATATAGATTACAAACATCATCATCATCATCATAAGGTCGTCAGTCCTAAGACTGGTTGGACATGCATCTCCACTTTTTCCTATCCTGCGATAATCTTCGCATTTCCCTAAAACCAGAACAACCCACATCCTTAACTATTTGCGAACAGTAATCTAATCTAGGTCTACCTCTACCCCTCCTAACTCCTGTTTCTGCCTCTAATATGTCTCTGACTAAACCTTCATGCCTGAGAAGGTGTCCTACTAACCTAACTCGCCTATTTCTTCCATAGAATCCTCTGTTCTCTTACTCTTTCTAATACCTCTTCGTAGAAAATTGCTACATTCTGTGAGATTCAATAAATGCCTAAAACAAACTGATGCTTTTCTGATTCGGGTCTAAAGGTTAGAACGGTTATTGGAGTTGCTTCCTAACGTTTCATTACCACGAGTGGCGAATTTCGTCAGAGGTCCTTCCATTTCGATGCTCCACATCCAGGCACTCTTGCTAGCTAAACGTTAAGAAGCAGTTCGAACACACGACGGCTCTTAGACCCGAATCACACCTACCAGTTACGAAAACCTTTGACTCGTATTCTGATGGCTATTTTGAACAATTTTACGGTAAACTGTCCAACCCTTTTTAGAATGCAACAATTTAATTAAGATCAAGTACCATTTGGATCATGAATTTCGTATTCTGTTAAATGTTCTAACAATACATGAAAAGACCCTAAATGAAACGTACTTCCACAGCGGGTTTTCTTCAACACCCGTTTAATTCGTTGTGTTTATTAACGGTCATTTTAAAAAGATCATAAATCGGTAGATAATTATGCGCCGGTTTCTTTCAATCGCAACGGTAGCGACAAGGCGAAAGAAAGTGATTCAATTTTGCTAATGAAGAAACGATGGCAATGACAATGACCCTCGTTGTCACCATCATTAACATCATTGGCCTGGAACGAATAACACTGTTGCGTGCCAAGTTCATCCTTTCTTCACGTACGAAATTACTTGTACCTGTTCGGTGCGGACTGTAATCACAGTAGGCAAACTACGGCCAATTTTGTACCGCACCGTAAAACGCGAATGAAACACACATAAAAGGGGTTTAAAAAAAAAAACAACTGAAGTATCCATACTACGTTTGTATGTCTAAAACTATATATGTATATAAAAGAAAGTCGTTTTAGTTACACTATTTATTACTCAAGAACGGCTGATCCGATTTGGCTGAAAATTGGTGGGGAGGTAGCTTAGAACCAGGAATCGAACATAGGATAATTTTTATCCTGTTCCCGTGGAAAAAACGTGGTATAAGAAAACGCAACTGTCAGCAAAACGATAAATTTATCAGTCAAAACATCAGTCTAGCCAAATAAAACAATTCGAAGTGGTCAGTATTCTGTCGAAACTGCCACACGCGGATCGCGATTTCGATCTTTTTGGACCTCATCAGCGCGTCGCAGACAACTCCGATAGAACACGGACCAACTTTTACCTGCTGTCTTAACAGCGCATTTTAGAAAATACCACAAATGGCGTGGTAAACGCCATCTGTACTACGATGCTACATTTTAGGATTACGTATGCTCCAACAAGGTCCATTTAAATATATGGATATCTACTTCCTGAAATGAATCCCGGCGTAGCTAACCTCAAGGTGATAGGCACGTTATTCGATTATGGTAAAAGTGCTTCGATGATTGGAAAAAACGTTGGCACAAGTGTATAATATCTAATGGGGATTTCTTTGAAGGGGACAAAATAAATATTCATGAATAAAGAAATAATTTTTGACCACTTCGAATTATTTTATTCGATTACGGTAACGTGCCTATCACGTTGAGGTTAGCTACGCCGGGATTCGTTTTAGCACGTAGATATCCATATATTTAAATAGACCTTGTTGGAGCATACGTAATCCTAAAATGCAGCATCGTACTACAGATGGCGTTTACCGCGCCATTTGTGGTATTCTCCATCAGTCTAGCCGTTCATTTGTTAAAAATGGTATAACAAAATGCAACTGACATGGAATGGTTAAGTATGGTGTTTTATTTATAGTCAGATTTACCTGAATCTTGGCTTTAATACTTTTTCATATAAAATTAGTGACATACATACCTATTTCAAAATTTTACAAAACTCTACCTCTTTAGGAAGCTGAAAGGGGTT